AGCTAAGCACATTGTTAGAAATCAGAACTAACTGACAGTACTTACCTCTTTACACTGATAGCAGATTAACTACAAGGTCAAAGGACACAGGACTTCCTTAAATACTTTTTTTCCAAATGTTAACCTGCTGTGGCTCTTACAACATCTGTTAATTCACAGTAGCTGCCTATATCAGTGTGATAACAATGGATTACTAGTCAACAGAAGGAATCAAAGTTGGAGACTGGGCGCCTGTGCCATCTGTTATAACTGACCTGTTCCAAAAAACTCTTGATCCTTATGTAGACTAATGCAATGACTGTTACATACACGCCTTACAGCTTTCAGATAAAACCTTTCATTCAGATATCACAACCTTAAAGACATGGGAATACTTGTTTCATCAAAAAGAGGTATTTCACAAATGCTTTTGGTGGATAACCAGTAAATATCCAATAATCCAAAATTTCCAATTACTCAGGTTTTGAGTATAATTCCTATTCTACTTCTCTATTAAATCACAACTGACAGCAAAAGATTGTGTCCAACTTTTTATTTAGTAAAATAAGAATAAACAGCACGCGCAGTGCTAGGATCTAAAAGTAATACAATAAGCAATTACTAAACCTATAGTGATCTGAAGTTCAATGATCACAAGTCAGTATGTTTAAACCAATTCTTATTTACTGGCTGATGTAAAGGAATGTAAAAATCACAAATTATGGATATACACAACGATAACCACATGTTTGAGGGCTGCACATATGCCAGTCAGTGAAAACCAAAGCAAAAAAAATCCCACAGAAAACAGAAACACATTAACTGAACAAAACTCAAAACCTTTGAGAATGTGTTTAGAAGTGTATCATTAATATTTTAAGACAAGTTTATCAAAACCATGTCAAGTTTTAATTATAAAGTCACCAATTTTGCCTTATATTTTACCAAAGTCACAGCTAGTTAACATTGCCAATACCAGGTCAGCTTAATTTGACTCAAGTTTAACAGGAATCAACATTATAAGCTCACACTACCCTGAAATATATTATTTCACACATGGTGACATTTAAAAGTGCCAGTGTTTTTTGTACTGTCTTTTGGTCAAGTTTCTTTAAACGTTCAAAGAATCACGTTTAGGCTTACAAAAATAAATATTTGTCAAAATGTTCAATAAATATTACACAAACTAGCAGCAAAAAATATCTAAAATCTGTCATGTGCAAACAGTTTCTTCACAACTATCATTCCATGGTCCCAAATAAAATTTTAGAATCTAGTTTCTAAGCTGCATTCAACAATCTTCAAGAAGATAAAATGAGATTGAAATTTTAAGGACACACACACAAGACACATATATACACACACACACACACGTGTGTGTGTGTGTGCACGTGTACACACACACATATCTATAAAATTCTCTGGATGTGCAATAAAGTAAGTAATTTGTAAAAAGTTATGAAAAAGTGTACAAGTCTAAACCTATACCAATTGAAGTAGCACCATTAACAAATGACCTTAATACTGTCAACTGCACCTACTTAATCAAGTTTTAGAACAAGGCACAATGTGCTTGAAAATCTATTGCACTTTTAAGAAAATTTTGCTTTCTTACATAACCATAAAGATTAGTCAGTAAAGATCACTGCTTTATAGCCATAAATCAGCACAGAATTCAAAGTGGCAAAGGCATTTTTAGTGGTGGATAATCATCTTTGGCCAAATTTAGCATAAAGAGACTATAAATATAATGGAAACCCATGCAACTAAAATTAAGACTAAAAGTACACTATACAGAAATAACATCACGAGCAATTTAGTCCCTATTTCCAACCTGTGTGATCTCAAGGATCTGTTTGTTATAAAGTCTACAAATGTAAGCCATTTTAACATTTCAACACAGCTTAAACAAAGCAATGTGAATCTGCACTGAAATAAAGCCTGCTGTGTAATTATCCCTACTTGAATCCTCTTGACCAAAAAACATTAACACTAACATGGCTTTACAGACCAAAATGCAACCAGGCCCAGGAAGAGGACAAGTCATTGTCATTGGTCAGTCATTTTATCATTTCAATTTTTTTTGGCAGGCATTTAAATAATGTAATTAAACTTCCTCTGCCTTTTAAAATCATTTGAACTTTCCCTATAATAGTATGCCCAAACTTGCCTAGCTTACAATGACAAACACTGAAAGAGAAATTGCTATATTTACTTGCATTAACTTTGAAGAGTGCTTTGAGAAATGCATGGATGATTCATTCATACATGCCACCTCATCATGACTGGAATGACATTTAAATACTACAAGGTTCTAGGTACTTATCCAGAATAGAGTGAGCAAGTCAGAATTTTAACAATGTATTTGGCAACATTAGAAACGAATTCTGCTCAAGATGTTCTTCTCCCCAGTCTGCACATAACAAAAAGTCCTAACAGAGAGATTACTGCCTAAATTTTTTTAACCTTACAATATTTATTGATAAGTTGAAGAGTCCTGTTAAGTTGTATCATACCTGTGTGCCACGGTTTGGTTTTAGCCCATATTCAGTTATTTATTTTGTTCAAATAACTGCTATCTTGAGCATTACTGAGCCAACAGGACATCAAAATAATAAGCTGTCTAAAGTTAAAATTACAGTACATTAACAAACAAATGACTTCCAGTCACAAAACTGTAAATGCAGCTCGGGATGGAAAATAAACAGAATGGGAATTAATCCAAACTAGGGCAATTAAGTCTTTGAACCAACTTTTGAATAGGGCTGTTATTGTTCCTTTCTTCTTGTGACTTTGATCTTCCATGAATTTTCAGGAGAATCACAGCTGGTAATGTACTACAAGTTCTTAAAGCTACAGGATACAGTCTGGCTAAGTTACATGTGGTTTCCATATTAGCTTGTTTGAATGGGTGATCTTATTGCAGACCAGGTTCAGTTGCCCCACCAATCAACGCCCTGGGAGTTATAATTTCCTCCATATCCGTCACTACTGTAGAATCCTCCATAGCTTCCTATCAAAAAAATGTTTAGAAGAGATTAGGTTAACCACTGTTATAATCAACCTTGTTTCTCAAGTCGTTTGATATATAAGGCTTAAAAAAAAAGTCTAGGACTACATCAAATTAAAGAGCTTCTGCACCGCCAAAGAAACCAGCATCAAAATGAAAAGGAAACCCACTGAATGGGAGAACTTATCTGCCAATGATACATCAGATATGAGGTTAATGTATCAAGTCCTCATGCAGATCAACCAAAGGATGACTAACAATCTAATTAAAAAATGGGCAGAGGGCCCTGGCCAGTTTGGCTCAGCTGGTTAGAGCATCAGCCTGCGGTCTAGAGAGACCTGGGTTTGGGTCCCACTAAGGGCACGTACCTCGGATGCAGTTTGTCCCTGGCCCTGGTTGGGTCGTGTGGGTGGGACCATTCTATGTGTCCTTTCACATCATTGGTTCTCTCTTTCTCTCTGTCCCTCCCACTCTATCTGAACAAAATATCAAAAAATGTCCTTGGGTGAGGTTAAAAAAAAAAAGTCAGAGGACCTGAATAGATACTTCTCCAAACAGGACACCCAAATGGCCAGGACACATTATAAAAAAATGTTCAATGTCACTAATCATCAGACTGATACAAATTAAAATGACTATAAGGTGTCACATCACACCTGCTAGAATGGGTGCTATCAACAATCATTAAACAAATGCTGGCTAGTGTGTGGAGAAAAGGACACTGTAGTACAAATGATGGTAGGAATGCAGACTGGTATAGTCACTATAAAAAACGGTACGAAGTTTCCTCAAAAAAATAAAAATGAACTGTCACCCTGGCCAGTTTGGCTCAGCAGTTACAGCACTGGCCCACAGACCAATGAGTCGAGGATTCAATTCCGGTCAAGGACACATACCTTGGTTGCAGTTCGTCCCCGGCCCTGGTTGGGATTGTGAGAGAGGTGGCTGGTCCGTGTGTCTTTCTCACATTGATGTTTCTCTCTCTCTCCCTCCCTCCTACTCTATCTGAAGATAAATAGAAAAATATCCCTGGGCGAGAATTAAAAAAAAAATGGAACTGCCATTTGTCCCAGTGATTCCACTTCTGGAAACACATCCTAAGAAGCCTGATACACTAATCAGAAAGAATATATACAACCCCATGTTCACAACAGTATTCAAAATAGCTAAGATCTGGAAACAGCCCAAGTGCCCACTTAGTAGATAGGTAAAAGGATAAAAAAAGGCCATGGTACACATTTACACAATGAAATACTATGTCGCTGTAAAAAAAAAGAAAAAAAAAAGATCTCTTACCCTTTGAGAAGACAGGGAGGGACCTGGAGAGTATTATGCTAAGCAAAATAAACCAGTCAGAGAAGACAAGTATCACATGATCTCACTTATTTGTGGAACATAACGAACAAAAATCAGCTGACAAACAAAACTTATTCAGAGAAATGGAAGTAGGGAACTGACTGACAAACCTCAGAGGGAACGGGGTGGTAGTGGGGTGGGAAGAGATAAAAAAAACTTATATGCATATATGTACAATCAATGAACATAGATAACAGTGTGGTAAATGGCTGGGGGCAGGAGGGAGAGCAGGAGCAAGGAGGAGAGTGTTAATGGGGGGGAAAAAAGAAAGACATCTGTAATACTTTTAAGAATTAAAAAAGAGCCTGGTCGATTTGGCTCAACGGTTAGAGCATTGGCCCGTGGTCCTGAGAGACCCAGGTTCAGTTCCCGCTAAGAGCATGTACCTCGGTTGCAGTTTGTCCCCGGCCCTGGTTGGGTCGTGTGGGTGGCAGCCACTCAATGTGTCCCTTTCATACCAATGTCTCTCTCTCTCCCTTCCACTCTATCTGAAGAAAACAATGGAAAAATGTCGGGTGAGAATAAAAAAGAAAGAAAATAAATCTGTAATGGATTTTGTGTTTTTTTTAGAAATAAAATGTCAATAAATTACACAATGGAAGTGTATGGAGGAAAAGGCTCTTTTAAAGTTATAAAAGAGGAAAATAAATATCACCTCCACCAAATCCTCTGCTGCTGCCATGTCCACCTCCACCACTGCGGCTGCTGCTTGCACGACTACTGCTAAAACTAGAACTGCTAGAACCACTACTTTGTCGATAGTCTCTGGCACCAAATCCTCCACTGAATCTGCTATAAGGAAAAACAAGGTGGAATGGTTTATGAGTATAAAATTAAATTAAAATAAAAATTCACCAAATGTAATCCCCACCCCTCCAACTCCAATTTCCGATTTTTCAACTCTTTTTCCTTGGGGTCAGTTCCTCTAATAATGTTTCCAAAGCAAATAGTAGTTAGAATAAAGGCTCAGAACAATCTGTACCTCTTAGAACGCCCACGACTGCTACCCTTATAGTGATGTTCATAAGCCAAATTTTCTAACCAGGACGGCACTTCTTGTTTGGCTTCAACAAGAAGATCCAATAAATCCTTTGTAATGTTTATATTTCTTTCATTAAAAAATGAAGTGGCAAGACCTGTTAAGAGTCCAAAAAAAAGTACATGTAGTCTGGGTTTACATAAAGTAGCCCTGTATTCTTACTTTAATATGTAGGTACTACATATTATAATATTTAATACAATACAAAATAAGTAAAACACAAGAATAAAACATTGTAATTTGGAAAGTAACACAAACTTTTAGTGTCTAACATATGGTGTCACCTTTCCCTTTGAAAATTAAAGTTCTAGTATTTGAGATTTTCTGTCAAAGCATCAAACGAAACACTTTACCAAGGTTTCCTACACGTCCTGTACGGCCAATCCGATGTACATATTCTTCAATATCACTTGGCAAATCAAAATTGATAACATGTTTCACATTTGAAATATCTAGTCCTCTTGCTGCCACCTGTAAAATAATGTTTGTTTAAAAAAAAACACCAATATTCATACATGCTTAATTAAAAGATAAAAATATACACACAGCTGTAGCCACTAGAATTGGGCTTCTTCCTGAACGAAACTGGTGAAGGGCTTCCTCTCGATCTCTCTGTGACCGGTCTCCATGGATACTAGTACAAGCATATCCTTCATGATATAAGAAATCCTCCAGAGAATCAGCACCCTTTTTAGTCTCCACAAACACTAAAGTCAGTGAATCTCTCCCTGAAAACAAAAAAATAAAGGTTTTTTTCCTTAATAGCAATTTAGCTCCAAAAACATCTAACTTACACTATTATTTATCATTTCACCTGTTGCATTTAACAGATCAAGCAGAAATGACCGTTTGTCTGAGTCTTCCACCCAAACTACTTTTTGTGTGATGTTCTCAGAGGTAGAGCCAACTCTTCCTACAGCCAGAAAGATATATTCATCCAAAAAATCACGAGCAAGCATCTGAAAAAAGAGGAAACCCTAACTTATTAAGTACTTTTGGTTTTTCTAGTTGTCTAAAGATGTATTTACATGTAAACAAAAATGTTCTAAAAGGAACTTTATCAAACAATACCTGTATTTCCTTAGGAAAAGTAGCACTAAACATCATGGTGTGGCGAACACCCTTTGGTGGCATAGTATCTTGTTCAACTATACGACGTATCTGAGGTTCAAACCCCATATCTAGCATCCTATCAGCTTCATCCAACACTAAGTACCTGTTATAAAAAACTTAGTTTAGAATTTGATGAAATAACCGACCATAATAGTCATCCTAATGTTCTAGCCTCCCATTTCAACACATGTGGAACAAAAAGACCACACAACCAAATTGGCTATTAATTTTTCCAACAAATTATAGTTATAATTTTCAATAAAAAAATGCAGACTTCAGGTCGAGATAATGGCATATATAAATGTAATACTTGCCTCCTCCCACAACATCAAAATTACAACTAAACAACAATAAAAAGCCCCGCTAGAGTGGCTCAGTGGTTGAGCATTAACCCATTCAATTCCTGATTAGAGTACATGCCCAGGTTTGCAGGCTCGATCCCCGTTAGGAGGCATGCAGGAGGCAGCCAATCGGTGTTTCTCTCTCTCACATAGATGTGTTCTTTCTCTCCCTTCCTCTCTAAAAAAAAAACCAATAAAAAGATATTTAAAAATAAACTACAAGTACCACCACCATTCAGAACTGCCCGAAATGTAGCTGAACAGAAGGGAATTAAAGAAGACCCTCTGAGACTGGTAGGAGGGACAGAGAGTGAAAAGAAATAGTCCCACACCCATGTGTGGCAGATACAAATCAGGAAGATGATATTAAGGCTGTGAGCACCCTCCCCACTGCACCCCTGCCCCAGAGCAGGCCTCTCAACATAGGGTTCCAGTGCTAGAAATAGAAGTCCACATAATTTCTGGCTGTTAAAACTATCAGGAAGTGTGGATGAGTGAGACAGAGGCTGCTGGGAGGCCCAGGCAGTTCCTCTTCAAGGTCCTGTGCACAGACTTACTCTGAGCTGCATCACAGGGGAGCAGCCTAAAAGGCAACAGAAGCATACAGAGAGGAACTGAATGGTCTGGCATCAAGGTGAGGACTGGGGGTGAGGTAGAGCGCTTTCTCTGAAGTGCTGGCCACTGATCCTTTGATGATTCCTATTACCCCTAAAAGTCTACCTACATCTAAAAGTCTACCCCTAAAAGTCTACCTACATCTGATACTCTATCAACCTGACTCACAGTGTTATTCCTACCCTGGTGATTCTGAGGCTCTGCCCCCACTCAACAAGTGGTTTCTAGGGGCTTTTCTATACAAATTGCCTGTCTTGGCTCATCCTCTAGATTCTAAAATCTCTCCAAGCAGCATCTGGCCTTTGTTGCCCTGTACCTCTTGCTAACTGGCCCCAGGTCAGGCACTAGCAGCAACCAGCCTTGGTTCACAGCTTAACTTCACCCACCTAGGCAACTCCAAGCCCAGCACATCTACATATCTACATCCGAGTAGCAGCCATCTACAGATTGCTTTGTAGCTCATACCGGGCAGAACATAGGTATCACACCTCTTGGGAGGCCCAAAGTCTATGCACCCAGTGGACAGCTTCATACCATGTTGAAGTATCCAATCACAAAACACTCAAGGGGTAAAAACTCAGCAAGCATCAGAGCCCTGTTGAAATAAGTCCTGCTCTGTGGGGTCAGAACCTACACAGCTGATCTTCCACAGTGGTTGGAGGCTGGTGGTTGCTTCTAGTCCTTGCAGCTGACTGACCCACAGTAAATTTCTCATATTGACATGCCAACAGGAATAAAGGCTCAACTATAAGAGGAAATTATGCACAGCCCACACAGGGAGGAGGGCCACACCTTGAGTGCCCTGTTTGGGCGACTGGGGAGCTGTGCCACTGGACCCTACAGAATACCTGCTATGTTTGGCTATATTACCAAGGCTGACAGATGTAGCAGCTCTACCTAATACACAGAAACAAACACAGGGAGGCTGCTAAAATGGAGGAGACAAAAATCTATTAGATGTAGATAGAGTTCATAACACTGGTTATAAGGATGCTCAATGAACTTAGTCAGAATCTCAACAGCATTAAAAAAAAAAAAAAGCCAGTCAGAAATGAAGGATACACCGAGTGAAATGGAGATGTTTTACAGGGAATCAACAGTAGAGTAGATGAAGCCAAGAATCAAATAAGTGATTTGGAAGAAAAGGAAGCAACACCTACAGAATAAAAAAAGAATCCAAAAAAGGGAAAATAGTGTAAGAAGCCTCTCGGTCAACATTAAGTGGAACAATACTCGCACATCATGGAGGTGCTAGAAGGAAAACAAAGAGAGAAAGAAATTGAAGACCTATTTGAAAAAATGATAGATATCTTCCGTAACCTGGTAAAAGAAATAGACATACAAGTCCAGGAAGCACAGAGAGTCTCAAACAAGAGAACTCAAAGATGCCCACACTCATTATAAATAAAATGACGAAGGTCAGCCCTGGCTGGTTTGCCTTAGTGGTTAGTGTAAGCCTGCAGACTGAAGGGTCTCAAGTTCCTTTCTGCCCGGTCAGGGTCATGTGGGAGGCAACTAATTGATGTTTCTCTCTCTTGCCCCCTCACCCTTCCTTCAAAAGGTTAAAGACAAAGAGAGAAATCTTCAGAGCAGCAAAATAAAAACCATTAGTTGCCTTCAAGGGAGCTCCTGAGGACTATCAGTTGATTTCTCAACAGAAACTTTGCAAGCCTGAAGGGAGTGGCAAGGAACATTCAAAGTGATGAACAGAAAGGATCTATAACCAAGATTACTCTACCCAACAAAGGTATCATTAAGAATCAAAGAACATATAAAAATCATCCCAGACAAGAAAAAAACTAAAAGAGTTAATCACTATCAAACCAGTATTGTTACATGAAATGTTTGAGTTTTCTTTCATTTTTTATCCTCACCCAAAGACATTTTTGCATTTATCTTCAGATAGAGCGGGAGGTAGAGGAGGAGGAAGACAGAGAGAGAAACATCAATGTGAGAGAGACACATTCACTGGTTGCCAACCATACAACCCCAACCAAAGTACATGCCCTTAGCGGGAAATGAACCCAGGTCCCTGTGGTCCATGGGACGACGCTATTTGAGTTTTCTTTAAGAAAAAAATAGAAGATAAAAATATGAACAATAGCCCTGGCCAGTTTGGCTCAGCGGTTAGAGCATTGGCCTGAGGTCCAGAGAGACCCAGGTATGGCTTAGTGGTTAGAGAGTCCCGGGTTCGGTTCCCACTAAGGGCACGTAACTCAGTTGCAGTTTGTCCCCAGCCCTGGTTGGGTTGTGCAGGTGGCAGCCACTCAGTGTGTCCCTTTCACATCGATGTTTCTCTCTCTCTCTCCCTCCCGCTCTGTTTGAACAAAAATGAAAAAATGTCCTCGGGTGAGGATAAATAAATTAATAAAAGTTTATATTTTAAAAACTATGAACAATAAAACGGCAATAAATACATATCAAATATTAAATCTAAAAAACCAAACAATTAGAAAAGAAAAATAAAAAATTTTAAATAAGGTTAATTTTAATTTTCAGTATATATTTAATTAAAATTACTTTTTCATCTCAAAATACTATGAAATGTTATAAAATGACCACTAATATTTACAAAATATTGCATCCCAAATATAAAAATTAACATACTTGCAGAAGTCTAATCCAATCTTTCCTCTTTCCATCATATCCACTAAACGTCCTGGAGTGGCAACTAACAAGTGACATCCACGTTCTAAGTCTCGAATTTGCTGACCAATATCAGCACCACCATAAACCACACAAGGACGAACTCTAGACCGGTATGAAAACTATAAAAAAGAATTTATTGGGTGATCATGAAAACATTAGAATAAATTAAAATGCCAATTATCTTTAAAATGGATATTTACTTTTCTGGCTTCCTCATAAATTTGTACAGCCAATTCTCTTGTTGGTGCTAAAACCAAGGAGATCGGGTATTGTTTACGACGTCCATACCTCCCAGTTTCCTAAGAAATAAGTACAATTTATAAATTAGACGCAAAGACCTAAAACTTTTGTTCTTTTTAAAAGTCCTAACAAAATAGTCCCGTAACAATTACACTCTAAAAAACCTCAAGTTTTCACTGGAGAAATGAAAAGAAAATGTACAGAAATGTAAATATATTTGGTATAGTTTAGATAGAAAGGACCCAACAGGTATTTATAAGATATTTTTCTAAGAAAAAACTTATTTTATACAAAAATCCTTACCTTCACAGCCTTCAACGCCTCTCCAGGACCATCTGTATAAATTTGACTCAAGATGGGCAAAAGAAATGCTGCAGTTTTTCCAGAGCCTATTTTTAAAAACTGACTTATTAATTGTGAATATTAAACATTCCAAATGCTCTTTTAGTAAAAGCTAATTTACTTACTCTAACACATACATTTTCTGCAAAGTATGGTATATTTACACAGCTAAGCACCCAAAACCAAGACTACTGTGACTCATTTTATTTTAAAGATTATTGAGTTTTAGAGAAAAAAGTAGAGAGAGATAAATATCCACGTGAGAGTAAAGTATCCATCAGGTGCCTCCTGCAATGTCCTTACCAGAGATGAAACTAGTGATCTCACCAGTGCACCAAATGATTGCCAAATGCAGCCACACTTGCCAGGATGTGTGATCCATTTTAATACAATCAGTGCTCATTCCTTTGACTTTTAATTAGTACAAAAACACAACAATTTTGCTTATAAACTGGCATCAACTTCCTTTTCAGTACTTTTTTTGTTATACACTGTTGTTATGTAAAGCAGTGATCAGGCAAGTTTCTGAAGAGTCTAATTGTAAAGGATTTGTAAAACAGTTCGTCTCCCTTTGTAAAATAAAAGCTATAGGTAAAGTTATTGAAATAAAACAAGTGTTGATTTTGGTCCTTAATTGCATATAAAAAAATTCTCTTTTTAAAAGAAGAAAATATATTACTCATGACAAGTGATTCAAGTTTTACAGATTAACTATCCCAGCCCTCCCACTCTTCAATTTCCAAAATACTAGACGGAAACACCTTTTCTTTATCCCCACCTACATTTTTATGGATCATAGGCTCCCTGATTTTATATTTCCTATTCCAATTATAACGCTAGCTTTCCCTCCACTGCATTTAAAAATTTTACCCTGTTACAGTAATACCAGGCTGAATTTAATACATACTTTCCCAAGACACCCTAGTTTGGATAAAAAGAACCAGAGAGGTAAGATAAAAAAGAGACATTTCCACTTAATCTTTACCTAACTCAAAATAATGTTATATATAAGAATCAGACTTCCATACAAAATAAATTATTTTTAGAGTGTGCTCTTCAAGTTAACTTTTATTCTTTATCAAGTGAGGTTACCTGTTTGGGCACAAGCCATCAAGTCTCTTTTTTCTTTGATAATAGGAATGGCATATTTTTGGACTGGAGTAGGACGAGTATAACGAGTAAGCTCAATGTTCCCCATGACAATTTCTCCCATTTCAATATCGCTGAACTGTCAAAGAAATTGAACCAGGTCAATCAGACACACATACAACTATAAATGTTTTATCTGCTGCAATCTGTTTTATACTAACATCAGTACAAAAGTACCCAACTAAATGTCTAGTTGTGACTGAGTTTACAGTTGCTTTGATTTTAGGCAAAGGTATCACAGTATTTTTTAAGAAAACTTACCGTCTCCTACCCTGGCCAGTTTGCTCAGTGGTTAGAGCATCGGCCTGCGGTCCAGAGAGACCTGGGTTCAGTTCCCACTAAGGGCATGTGCCTTGGCTGCAGCTTGTCCCTGGCCCTGGTTGGGTCGTGCAGGTGGCAACCACTCAATGTGTCCCTTTCATATCCATGTTTCGCTTTCCCTTCTTCCCTTTTTCCCTCCCACTCTATCTGAACAAAAAAATGGAAAAAAAAAAGTCCTCAGGTGAGAATAAAAAAAAAGAAAACAGTCTCCTGAGTCTAATGTGCAATAAAGTAGTTCTTACTATGGCACTTTTTCCACTACAGGATTACTCATAATGGTGACATTAACTTTAAAGAGCTGTAAAAAATAAAACAACTTACACTTTCAATATGTGGAGGACAGTTACTGCCAGTTGCCTCTACTGGAATATCATCATATTTCTCAAAGTTAATCCCAGTGTTTCCTCCAGAAAATAGTTCCCTAAAATCAAATGATTATTACAAGTTATAACAAATAGTAAGTTTCACAACAATCAACATACATTTCAAAACTTACTGCTCCAAACGTTCACTTGGTGGAAGTGGTTTTGACCAATCATCTTCATCTGATTTGTCACACCATCGACTGTGTCCACTGCGATCAAATTTGCCAAAACCAGTCCTGTCACCGCGACTGCCAACACCATCATAGTCACTCCGTCCACGATCATCAAACCTGAAAAGAACAAGCAACTGATCAGAGTATGTCATTTAGCCAATATTATATGAGTAGCTTTCTAGACATGTACTTGTATATTAGCTGAATTGTTAGTCATAAGAACCTTGCAAAGATGTAAACAATTCAATATTGATTACCTCATTTGTGAAAAAAGGCTCTCTAACCCTGGCCAGTTTGGCTCAGCGGTTAGAGCGTCGGCCTGCGGTCTAGAGAGACCCGGGTTCGGTTCCCACTAAGGGCACGTACCTCAGTTGCAGTTTGTCCCCGGCCCTGGTTGGCCGTGCGGGTGGCAGCCACTCGATGTGTCCCTTCACGTCGATGTTTCTCTCTCTCTCTCCCTTCCTCTCTCTCCCTCCCACTCTATCTGTACAAAACATGGAAAAATATCCTCACCCGAGGATACAAAAAAAAAAAGGCTCTTTACTTAACCAGTGGTTATTGTATAATTTATATATCTTTAATTTTAAAATAAAAACAGCATCTTTTAGAGCTATTTACAATATTCTTCAGCTTCAACAAAGCTGTTTTATAATACTTATAATTAGCACATACTTTACATCTTCATTTTATAATCATCTAAATATACTTAACAAGAAAACAAACAAACAAGTAAAAATGAATGTCAACTATCCTGGTTACATTTGGATATGCAGGAAAAGCCACTACGTGACAGGACTTAAATTAAGATTCATTTATCACTCTTGTGCAGTCATAAAAAATGTTAACTGGCACAGAGAAGACATACATAATTAAATAAAAGTAATAGATCCATATGTCAAATAGCATCTTCTTATTGCATGTAATTTATTTTTAACAGAGATATAAAAACCTGGTAAGGCTTGATTTTAGAATCAAGAATTAACAAACCAACACTTTGCTTAAAACCCGTAATAGAAAGATGGTCTGTTAAGGGGGAAGAAATCTTGACTCAAGATCCAGAAAAGTACAAAGAATGAAAATACATCAAATTAAGAGTTGATTCCTAAACTGTTACTTGCAAGCTGAGAATTTACCTTCCCCTTGATCTGCTTCCACGATCACTGTAGTAACTGGACTTTCCTCTTGAATCCCGAGACCCAAAACTGCTATATGCATCCTTATCTTTACTAGAACTCCACCCTGAATTGTCTTTATCATGAAATCCTTCCAAAGAAAGCAAAAATTAGAAGTTGACAATACTTTAAGGAAGAATCCCAACTTCTCAAGTAAGTGGTTGTTTACAGACAACTTACCTTTATGGGAGGGGGCCACACACCAAATGTCAGGGGGATTATTTTTATCAAAATATTGGTGAAAAAAAGGCAAGATTTAGATAACTGATTACCCTCAGCAAAAAAATTCTTTCTACCATCTTTAACCTTCTTTCCTTCTAAAAATTGTATTAAGCAAAGTAATTATCATGGTCTAAAAACAGTATGCTGAATACCACCACTAATAGATGAACAAAAACAATAAAACAGGCACCTACTATAATGAGATTATTTTAAACAAGATTGTAGCAAGACTTTTTAAAAAATGAATTTATTGGGGTGACACTGGTTTACAAAGCCATATAGGTATCAAGTACACGACCCAGCTCTAAGTTACCTTTTGGTCAGGTCCTATCCTTAAATATAATCTCACAAACCCTGAATAAAAAAACTGACTTAAAATATACACTATGCAGAAAATACAATACACATTTTGAAATTCCCAGCTAAGTATAAGGTTACCTTCTACAGTCAGTTACACCTAGAGAAAACTTAAATGAAGAGACCTACTACATAATTACCATAAGAAAATAAATGGACAAGACATTTCAAGATTCACAAAGTAATTATAGGCACTGAATATGCTCCAACTATTCTTTTGGGCTTTGTGTAGTACATGGCAATGGTAAATAACAGGGATTATTCAACAAAAGAACTTGTGGAAGGTGACATGGCAGTATCAATAGCAATGTAAATATGACAAATCAACTGAGTATCTTCAAAACATGAACAACCTGGCTTATCTAAACAAAATCTAAAAGAAATAAATTAAGTGGAACAGTCATGAACATAATTCTGTTATCTACTTTGCTCCAGCAGACTTTTAAAAGTACTCTCGCCCTGGCCAGTTTGGCTCAGCGGTTAGAGCGTCGGCCTGCGGTCCTGAGAGACCCGGGTTCGGTTCCCACTAAAGGCACGTACTTCGGTTGCAGTTTGTCTCCGGCCCTGGTTGGTCGTGCGGGTGGCAGCCACTCGATGTGTCCCTTCACGTCGATGTTTCTCTCTCTCTCTCCCTCCCACTCTATCTGTACAAAAAATGAAAAAATATCCTCGGGTGAGGATAAAAAAATAAAAAAAAAATAAAAGTACTCTCAAAAGTACACACATAGAAAGGTAACTGTCTCTCTTCCTGTCTGTGTCTGGCTCTGTCTCTCCCTCTCCCAACTCCTCCATTTGTCACTAGGGTCTGAGCCTTCTACCTCTTTCTCCCAGGTGCATTTTTTTGCCTTCCTTTCTCCTAAGCTCTAAGGACCCATCTTTTGCCTGAGCCATGCAGATGGCTCATTTCTTCCATGGCTCACTTCTTCTACCTCTGACTTTGTAAATAAACTTCTTCTGCTTGTATTTCAGTCTAGGCTCTGAATTCTTTCTTATTTAAAACTCAGGACTGAGATCTAACATCTTGTGCCCTTTGCAATTAACAGAAGCATCTTCAATCCTTAGCACAACTCTTTATTATAAAACAGGAAGAAACCTTGAAAATCAGAAACCTTTGGTTTGATTCTTGGCTCTGACACTTTCATTAAGAATTGTGGTTTTTCTAAAGCTCTTTGTAAACTGAGGTTACTATTTCCATGAGCTTTTGGACTGTGGTAAGGTACATAGGTCTGGGATCAATTTTGAGGTTCACTGATAGCTCCTTAGCAAGTTTGGTTAAGTTATTTCAACGATATGTCATGCTATAATATTATCAGTGGGCATCACCACCATCACCTTCTTCTCTCTAGATTGTTTATGCTAAATGACATCAGATGATTGTCAGTGGATCTCAACCAGGGACGGTTCTGGCCCCCAGAGATATTTGGCAATATCTAGAGACGTGGTTGTCCCAACCAGGGGGTTGCCACTGGTAATTCAGTTTCAGGGATACTGTTAAACATCCTACAACACACAAGATAGCCTTGCACAACAAAGAATTAATTATCTGGCCCAACATGTCAATAGTTCTAAGGCTGAGAAATCCCAACTTAGGTAAACTGTGCAAAAGACTATTAAATGCAAATTCTACTGTCCTGGGTGGGCAGAGACTGTATTTAAAAAGCTATAACTAGATTCTTAAAATGACAACACAGGCATAAAACAGTGATTACATTGTCCCATAAGAAAGCTAATTTTTAAAAATTCATAGCCCACATCTTAAATAATTATAAAACCTTATTACTTAAAAATTAAGATATCTCAATCCACTCTGAAGAATGTAAGTTTTTGAAAGATAATTTCACACTGAGATATTGACATAACTCCTGTTTCTGTATTAACAAAAATACAAAAACCCTTATTGTACCTCATACTTATGTATACTGTTTTTCAAATGTTAGGTGTCCAACAATATTATGCTATTTGTATACGCTTACAGTGACTCAGGTATAACAGGGGGAAAAAAAAAACCTCCCATCCTTGCCTTATTTCCCTATGTACCTGTCTCTAGAAGACACCTACAGACAGATAAAGATAACAAGGGTGAACTCACTCAATAGTTAAATTTACATTCACATATTTTATTAAATGTTCCAAAAAACGATCACTGTATTTTGTTTCTTTATTATATGAGACAGAGGAAGGGAGAGAGAAAAAGATAGAAACCGATGAGCTAGAACATCCACTGGCCACCTCATACACGCCCCTAACTGAGGACCTGGCTATTTGCCCTGACCAGGAATCAAACCGGGATCTCCTCATGCATGGTTGACACTCAACCACTGAGCCACACTAGCACTTCAACTGTAACCCGAACAATATGTTCTTAATAACTCATCATTTTACATTAATAACTTAATAAAAGGTATCAATATTCTAATAACCATTTGGATAAATGAAGTTCAGGCAAAAAGATATTACTAGATAATCCCTCCAACCTATTTATTGAGTGTGGCCAAAGCTGTAATCTCACAATTGCTCATTATTCTGCAATAACACTATTTTCACTTGGGAACACCTCAAGACAGCAGTAAGCAGGACTATATTATTGCCATGTGATTTTACATAATTGGACACTCCCACAAAAACACCTCTTTCAAAGTAAAATCATATCAGTGTTTGCAAAATAAATCATAGTGAAATTATGCTAATAAAACTTTGGGCTCAACATTGGTCAAAAAAATAACAATCCATTATGTAATACTAGATTAACTTTTCAAAGTTAGGAAATGGTAGTTCTTGAAAACAGAAAGAAGCATAAACAAAAAATTGTGTATAAACTTCCCAAAGTTACCTGGAGATTGCCATAACCACCTACCTTTAGATGCTTCTCTGTTCCTTAAATGAGGAGGTATATAGCGCCCTTCTAAAGAGAAATGTAAAAAATTAAAAGTATATCCTATTCTCCAAGACACAACTTTTTATAAAATGCCCATTTAAAAAGTACTAGAAAATATTTTTAAACTTCTTTTAAATATTTTGCAAATAAAATATTTATGGGCTATGTTTAATTAACAAAATTTTTATCCTAACCCCACCCAACCCAAATGAGTACAGACAATCAAGTTTGGAACATGGATTATAAGAAAAGAAATCATCTAATCAAGTGCGTTTCAGTAGCTACTACTGGTTAACAAATGTTTTAAAAGGCTCTGCTAGTTCAGGAAATTGTTACATGAATTATAACATCTAAAAAATATAGCCATTACTGGAACAAAACAGCCTACAACAACAACAAAAAATCTATTAAATCAATAACCTGATTTCAATTACCCAAAAAAAAGCTTACTTGTAGTCTGGTAAAATACCCATATAATAAAAATACACAAAATCTAGAAAGAAAATGTGATTCCAACAAGAAATTGATGTCAACCTTGAATTTCTTAATTTAAAGTCACCAATCTAGTCTATGATTAAAAAACAAAAGGACTTGACCTAAAGCATAGAAGGAAGTTAACTATTACCTAAAAATAAAAATGTTAACTAAACCTCTAACTGTAATATTGAATTAAATATCCTAAACTATTGGTATAATTAAAGCCTTTTAATAACAGCAAATAAGATGCAATATGAATTAATCAAATGTAAAGAGGCTTTTGAGAGTACCCACCACCTTTTTGAAAGGCTTGGTCCAAGCTAAGATCTGCTGCCAAATAATAAGCCTCCAACTTCCTTTCCCACTATACTAATAAGTCTCAAAAATAAGAAAATAAATAAATATATTAATAAAACACATCCCATCCTCCCTTAAAAAAAATCTTCATTTCAAAAAAATTTAACATGACTGACATTTTAATTCTAACTACTCCCCAAGAATCAGTACAGCCTACTTGTAGTATTAAGTCTCCAGTTCTCTATGGAAAATGAGTAGTAGATCTAACACATAAACGTACAGTTTTCTTTATTAGGCTGAACACACTTCAGGTCAACTCATAAGAGATATGGATGGACATATCCTCATCGCTTTCATGTTTGGCCATAATTTATACTGGACATAATTAGTTTTCTAAAAATGTGAATATCACCTTAACTCTTCCCCCTAAATTATTAATTGTTTCCACTCAAAAACAACTAACCAGTGTCTTTTATTATCCAGACAATCCAGAATACTTTAAATGTTTATAGGTTAAAAAAAAGAAAATTTTTATATTTAAAATTAGAAATTACAATGAGTTATTAACATTAAGGTCTATTAAAGATTCTAGGTAATAACAACAAAAAATTTACTTACTGCTTGCTGTACTTCCCCCTTTACTCTGATTATCAGAAGAGTTCAGGTCTAGACCAGCAAACTAGGAGGAGAGAGATGTTAACAGCTCACATGCTGACACACTACATATACAACTACTGGGTGTGTGTGTGTGTGTGTGTGTGTGTGAGAGAGAGAGAGAGAGGGCAAGCATGCATCCATGTGTTGTTTAGGGAAGGGGAGGTCAGGCACAGATAGCCTAACAAAACACAAATCAGGTCCTAAAATCTAGTTCTACCCATGTAGCACTTATAGGCTAGCCTTTCTTGCAGTTTAAAGAATGCGTTAAAAAGTGTACCAGAAAGCACACCAGCACAGGTGTTTCAAATACTTTAATCAAAAACAAATTTCACTGTAACAATTGTCCATAGTAAAAGCTCTGCAATAACCAAACTAAATTATTACCATCAATTTCTAAAAAGCCTCTGGTTTTTACTTATTTTAAGCTTAAAAGGTCTACTTGAAAAACATTTGGGCAATTTGAAGATTACCTAATTTCTTATCTGCCAAAGACTGTGGAACTGTTTTTAATTGTGATAAATTCCTAAGCAGCCACCCCACTACCACTCATCATGTAGTAAGATGCAATTTTATCTAGCACTGCATCATTTAATGCTTGCCACACTGTAAAAGCAGTACCTAGTTCTTCAATTTTGGAGATGAGATAGTACACAAAACTCGCTGGTCAGAAAGCTAGTGAGTGGCACAATTTATATTTCAAACTTTCATATGAGGCTTTTAATATTAATTCCTACCTGGTCCCTATGTATTGATAAGACTTGAAAATCATTGGAGAAAGATTATTTTACTTTATTGCATTATGTAATAAATAACCAAGAACCGTTTAGAAGCAGCACAGTAATTATATATGCCAAAATAAGTTTTAAAAAGCATGAGACCAGAACAAAAGGCTGCCACCTGTTTGCAAAAAAATTTGCTGTATATAAACACTGCATTAAAAAGTTAAAGATATGAAATTACATGCACTACTAATAAGGTATTCCTCTTTAAATTACCAACCTTTTTCCAGTCAAATTTGCTTACTACTAAATTCAGAAGCACAATTTATCAAAAGTTAAATGGATTCCAGCTACACAGATAATGTTACAAATGCAATCACCTATACTCTTGATATCAGATTTTCAATTTCTAGCGTTTTAACATTGAGTTTGAGCATAATGAATGCGTTAATATAACAATATTTTTAGTGGAAATATACCTTTAGAGAAGTAGATCATCAGGTCCCTCAAATAAATTACATACATTAAAATGCATGATCAACTCGTGTAATTAAGCTTTGCTTTACAATTCAGAAGTTTGTCAAACATTTTTTTGTAAAAGGTTTATGCCCTCAGTCAGCGATTTTCAACTGTGTGCATGTGCAGTAAGAATTTTTAAAGCTTGAGTATTTACTCGGGACTTCTATTTTGTTAATCTAATTTTAAAAAACACCAAAAACAGCAGCCAGCACAACAATAGCGAGACGGCTCGAATGAATCAAAATTACACCTATTTTTTTCTTTTTTGCCAGAATAAACATTTTTTGGTGTGTAGAAATTTAGTAACTAGCTTATATGGGTCTTGAGATGCAAAAGATTGAACATCGCTGCCCTAAATCCATTCTATGTATTAAATGTTGAAGATAGAAGCTGAGACACGTTGCTCTCCTAAGAACTAACTAGAGTTTCTGTGGAGGCTATATACCACAGTAAGGAAATAGAAATTTCCTGCTTGAAAAAACAAGCCTCTAATCCCTCTTCTCTGACCATGTATCCCAATCCCCAATACTTCAAAAGAAAAAGAGGACAAGCCATAGTTTTGTGCTATTTCAGCGTTTTTCTTCTCAGGCATGACAAAATCAGAAACAAAAACTTCCCTTGTCCTGACAAGTCCTCTAGAGTCTTCTGAGCGCCTCGAAAGTCATACATCAAACATAAACATACAACTTACTGTATCTCCCCACCAAAAAAGCAGCATAACCCGCTTAAACGGTCATTCAGTTGCTGTGTGAATATGTACAGGGCAGTTCCAGATGTATCCTCCCAGAAGACTCCCTGCCGAGGTCGAACTTCCATTATTTCCAGACGCTGGGAAAAGCAGCATACGGCGGCCACTTTTTCCTACCCCTACCCACCCCGTTCCCGCTCTTCTGCGTCACAAAACTTTCCACTCCGGAAACCACCTCACCTTCCGCAGCACCGGGTGGCAGTAGACCGGCGCCAAGAGGCCCGTAGGGGAGAGCAAGACAGCCTTTTGGTGGTATTTTACAGTCAATCGCCTGCCGAGGTCCCGCAGGCCCCGGCTTTCCGTTAGTGTACCGCAGCGCTGCACACAAAGGCGACCGCCGCCATTACCGAGTTCCCCCCACCCCACATTCCGTGGGCGCATTCCGCCTTCCACTTACATATAAACTACGTCTCTCAGCCGAAATGAAGGCCGTTCAATGAGAACACTTTTAACACAAAAAACGGTACCCTTCATGTACCACCATTCTATTTCTAGCCAAGTCAGTGATCACATAAAACATGTCTCTAAGGAGATCGCGCAAGCACACAAAAGCCGCCACCGTGAGCGGCCGGGTACAATTCTCCAGGCCCAGCCGTACCCCGGTCCAAGTAACTGTTAACAACTCTACCGTTTCGTCTTTTCTCCACGCAGTGTCCAAAATCTTCCATAAATCTAGTTTACTGCCCCTTCCGCCCACCGTACCACCACCGCAAGCCATAAGAAACTAGGCTGAGGTAAAAAGCGGTGGTTAGTTACCGCTGAGCCATAAGCCACTTTAAGCGCAAAAAAAGGGTTCCACAAATAGTGTCAATAATGACAATAACTCTTACCTGCTGGTCCAACTCGAGCGCCTTTTCCACCACGACATGCCTCATGCCTGAAGAGGACCGAGGTTTCGGACTATCCAACTGCTGATCCAGTTCGTCGGAATATCAATAGCTCTCTGAGGTACACAGCTTGGCCAAGGCCGCAGTATACCGACTCCAAGAGCTTTACGTCACTACTAAAGTCGCGTGCCTTCCTCCTCTGCCTAGCCCACCACCAACTACTTTATTTCTACCGTTACTTGGGACTTGGAACTCGCGTTCTTTTACTCATAACATCGCGGGATCTTCTAGTCAATCTCGTTCCAAAACGCTCTGAAAATTCGCGATACTTTAGTTAATTCCGCCCTTCCCCCTCCCCCCCCCCCCCCCCAAGACTTGGAATTCTTGTAAACGCTTTCTTCCAACTTCTACCAAATGGAGCATCGTAAACCTAAATCCAAGATAACCCCCTCTCTTACACCCTCCTCCCTACCCTTAAAGTTTCCCCCTTTCCTCCAGTGCTTTCCCTTTATCTTCCCTTTCACTCCCAAGAATCGGAAGTTTCGTAAAATGTCTGGGTTCTAACTAGTCTTCACCCCGCCTTTGGGAAAAGTTACCAAAGTCGGAAGTAGAAGTAGTCAAAAATGCACTGAAACGGAGTAGATTGGTCACTTTGCTGAACGATCGACGATGACTTTGAGTAGTATTTTTTGTCTGGAGAGGCGGAAGGCGAGGTGGACACAGGCACTCTACTGAAGCTGGACTAAGCGGAGGTGGAAACCGCAGGACGTGCGGGCGGCCGGAGCTGCCCGGCGTGAATGTCTTAGGCTGCCGGGGCTTGGCCAAGAACCCCAGACCTCTCTGGTTTCCTACCAAGGACTGAGCATTTAATGCTCAGGCGGCCACCACGTCACCTGGTGAGGCAACAATGAAACAATGATCACCTCCCTGGAGACAATCCCACCCACCCCCACCCCTCCCCCACCCCTCCCCCGCTCCCCGCCCCTACCTGTACCTTGCTCTCCCACTCCTACCTACCCCTCCCTCGCCCCTCGATCAAGCTACAGTAGGGCTTTGGATTCCTTCAGTAGTCCAGGTCCTGTAGCCTCTAGTGCCTACACTAGTCACGGAGCCCTGGGGATTGTGAACAACTCTCTTAAAAGCGAGGGGACTCAGGACTGTTGATGGCTAGGGGGAATCAGCCAGCCAAAGGAACCCTGAGGTTGCCAAACTAGTCTCCAAGTGGGTGGTAAATGGAAACGGCCCTTTTCTAGGTACTGTAGTCGAGATTCAACACCATGGTCTACTCAAATGTCAGAAAACATAATCACTATTGGATCCCCAGGCTTTTAAGTGAGAGGCAGCATGTACATGGTTCCCTGAACGTTCTTCAGTTCTGTTATGGTTAGATACCCAGGATTCTTGACAGGGTCTTCTGCTGCTATGCTTGTTATTAAGTTAATTCTCAAAACATTTACCACATAAAAGACTTCTTTTTCAAATTCAATATTGAAACATTCAAAGATAATTTTAACAAGTTACTCTGTTCTCAAATTCTTGTCAGCTGAATTAGATAATTCCTTTTTATAACAAATATTATTCTAATGACATTTTTACCATACTGAAATTCACAGGTGATACAAATTAAAACTGATGCACACCTCCTAATCAAAAAGATCCAATTGTAATAAAAAGAATTAAACCAAAAGTAATTTTTGTTGTAACCCAGGAGAATCAACCTCACTCGGACACAAAGTAATTTTGAATATTAGGAGCTTTGTTACCTGCACAGGGACTGCAGTCAACTTACACAGAGGAGAACTGCAGCCCGAGCCCAGGGGGTGGGTTGCTTATATAGGACAGGGGGTTGTTCGAGAGTTTAGCAGAGCAAGCAAGCTGCGTGTACAGAAGTGGAGGCAGTTAGCGACCACCAGAAGGGAATGGAGGTGGGAGGGAGCTGAGGTGAAAGGGAACTGGGTGAACTGGGTCAGCATACATCTATCCTGCTATTCAATTATCTAAGTTTTAAAAACTAACAAATTTGCTTAGAGTACACATTCACTTAGAGGAGTATCAGACCAGCTGATACTTCCTCAGGTTGCCTCTGAAAGCTTCATAATCAGCCTTTTGTTTATTTAATCAGGATACACTGATAGGAGCAGGTTACTACATTCCCCACTGGTTTTCAGGGGAATCTAATCTTTGATTCTTGTTGTTCATTTAATGGCAATCTTTGCAAAGAGAGGCCAGGACTAATAATTTGACAGATTGAACCCTCTCTCTTATGAAAGCTATTAATTTGTTTATAATTATAGGTCTATATGTCAGTTCTAGAAATAGGAGTATGAGGGGGCCTGCTAGGACAGAGAGAAGAGTAGTGAGCTGACATCTCAACCGAGATGATAATTTACCTTGGGTCCTAATAACACCTGAAGGGACTTGGTTTGTATATATCTTTGGATTTATCCAGCTGCCTAACATCCTTATTAGACCCCTGTATAGTCATAATCAGAAAAATTAGAGTCTCGATAAATGTAAGTCTTATTTTTAAGGGATCTGGCGAGGCCTGCACCTTCCATTTTGTTTTGTCCGCCTTCAGCCAGGAATGGTGCAGCCAGACCAGGGTGCCGTTGACCTTTGCTGTTGACCTTGACAGCCGTTGGTGCAGGCAGGATGACAGTGTATGGTCCCTTTCAGGCCGGAGTTAGTTCCTGGGTGGTGAATTTCTTTATTTATATCGAGTCCCTAGGCTGGAAAGGGTGCACAGTGTTCGAGGTGGGCATGGGCAGGGCATCACAGATGTGTTTATGGATGGCCTTCTGGGCAGACTGCAGGGTCTGTAAGAACTATGAGGGCAAGGGGGAGCAGAGTGGTCCAGTTTTCACCGGTTTCTAAAGTCCTGTTTATGAGCTTTACCTGCCTGGAACTCTGTGGGCAGTAAGCACAATGGAGCTTCTAATTTAAATTTAATCCCTTAGAGATATCCTGTGATATCTTTGCTATCAACGTGGCATCATTGCCTGATCTAAGGGTCAGAAGTAGCCTAAATCTGTTATTCTCTTTGATATATCCTAGACTGTTATTTTATTATTAGAGGCAAGTTCTCCCTCTCTAAGTGTCCTATTTTCTTTCCTTCTTGACTATTCCTCCAGTGTCCTGTCTTCCTGTAATGTTTGTCCCTTTCTTTTATCTTTCTTATCTTTGTATTTCCTCTGCATAATCCTTCTCTTTTTATTTCTTCCCTCTCTATAATCCTTCTTCAGCTTGTTGATAGACCCTCTATGATTTACACAGCGCTTTTCAACTTACAGACCCTCTGTGACTTTATTCCCTCCGCTGACATGAACCTGAGAGCCTGTCAATCTATCTGCTGTCTGCACATCCCCCAGCTTTTCTTCTCTTCCCTTCCCTTCCTCCCTACTTAAGACATATATACTCCTTCTTTCTTCTGTCTTCTCCTTTCCCCTGTGACCTTATTGGACATTTCTTGCCTCTCAGAAGTTCAGTAAGCTTGGTGTAACCTAAGTGGGTAGTCTGGTGCCGCTGGTTGACTTAGGTCCGACCTAGAGCCTCTGGGACCAATAACCTCCCATCAGGTAGTGTCTATCATTCATCAATTTCCTTTATGACTTGTTTCTGCTTGGTTAAGTTATTTTCTGACCCAGTGTAAGTAGAAGTCAGAGGCAAACTTGGGTTTGGCATGGTGACTGATACCTGGAGAGGTCCCTGACCCGTCCCGAGGGGGAGTTAGGAAGAGGAGGGACAAGAGACACGAGAAATGGAGACAAGACAGGATTCTAATCAAGTCTCGTTTATTCAGGGGTAATTCACACAATATGTAGGGCAAGAAGCACCTGTTGCCAAGCACCAGGCTTGCCCGAAGCAATTCTAGGAAATACTACAAAAGGAACAAAAGGTCAGTAAAGACTGGCTGATGAGTAAATGGTTACTTAAAGAAATGCAGAGATATCCTGCCTTGGGGCAGGTGATGGCAGAGCAGATCATAACAAAATTGATGCCATGCAAAATGTCTCCCACAGGTCCCCCTTTTCTTTAATTTTTTAAGGCCGAAATAATACCTTGAGGGGACTGTGCCTGTCTTAGGTCAGGAAACTTGCACATGGTGCCAACCTGTCCGAACCCGTCATTGGAATAGCAAGGCAGCATAAGGCCTTGTTCCTGTCTTAGGTGGTGGTTGGCAATGCGTGTGAGTTCCAGTTGCCCGTCTCTGGCTATCCAGTCCAGCGCACCAAGGTGACGAGGTTTTTGAGACTCACTATTTGCCATCTCGGGCATAGTCATAGCTTACTGACTCACAGCTAGAGTGAGCTTCTCGGCCATTTCAAGTCTATGATAATGGACCTGTATAGATTGCAACTCAATGGCATCTGTCTGCTGCTTGATAAAAGCCAACAGAGGGGCCCAACAGAGGGCACCCCATTTAGCCTGCTCCAAAGGGGGTTATTGAAGAAAAGCTCTTTTAAGCAGCAGCATTTCTGCAAGGCAATTGCATGGGGGGCCAAATCAGGCCCTCAGGAGTTCGTCAGGGTGTGGAGGAGGCCCCAAACCTCCTTCCACAAGCAGGCAAAGATGCAGAGGTATCCCTAGCAGTAAGGTTTCAGCCTTCCGGTCCATTCCTGAAATAAAAAAAAAATAAAAAAAAACAGGAAAAGCCTCTCAGGGCGAATTTTCATCCCTGGAGTTATTTATATGGTTATCTGTTATTCCTTTAACTTGATCAATCTGTTTAACCAAACGCTCTGGTAGCCATCTGGCAGATTTCATTTTCTTAGAGTAAATGCCTACAGAACCTCGGCCCCAGATGAGGACTGGGTCTGGGCCATGCCAAGAGTTGGTTAGTGGATCTTTCCACAACACTGAGGCAAATTGTTTTTGAGTTTCTGTATGCCAAAAGCGATTAGCAGCAGATTGCCCATCAGTGTCCAAATTTAAAAAATTGAGGATAAATAAGGCATGAGAGAGAATATTTCTGGGTGACCCCCTCGTGGGGTACCATTCCCCCTTTTTTATTTTATTAATGGTGATCTTTAAAGACAGATGTGCTCTCTCTACAATCCCTTGGCCCTGAGGGTTGTAAGGTATACCTGTTATGTGTTGAATATTGAGGTGTTTGCAAAATTGGGAGAAGGCTGAACTTGTATAGCCTGGGCTGTTATAGGTTTTCAATTGCTGTGGGCATCCCAGAACTGTCAATGTGGTTAGAATGTG